AGGCCAAGGGATTCAAATACATAAAGATAGCTGCATGAAGTGAAATTTCCATTCAGTTAGGTTTAATAAAATGTATGTCTTCCAACTAAAAAAAATATTTATTTTTGTCTTGGAAATGTTCATTTGGATTATCCTTAATATCAAAATAAAAATCCCCTAGCATAGCAAAAAAGCAACACAAAATGTTGTAGCTATATAAACATCTAACAGATAAAATACAGCTATTATTTGGAATATTAGGTCAATATACATTCATAATTTAGGAATTTTACATATTTTTTTACTTAATTTAAGTTAAAATTACAGTTTTCTATAAAATCAGAATTCCAACTCAACAAAAACCGATAAATACAGCTGTAAAAAGTAGAGTTTTTTAATTTGTTTTGAAAAAACATATAGCAGATGAAAACTAGGATCCTGTCTCAATACCACTGAAGCTATCTCTTCATTGTCTATTATTCTGTGTACTCAGAATTGCTTTCTCTTGTATTTTTATTCATACATAAGAGTGTCACATTACTGATGTTGATACATCACAAGTAAACAATATAAAAATGTGCTCAAATAAATCAGATAAAACAATATTTGTAGAGGAGCATAAATCTATAAAGTGAAATATGTATTTGCATTGTATTAATAGAGCGATACTTTGTGATTCCATACAATGAGAAAGTATTATTTCAAGATGAAAATATTTAGAAAATAATAGGGAAATGTTCCTGATCAAATCTTTAGGCTAATATGTTTTATCTTTTTTGTTGTGCTAAAGTACTCTGTATGTAATTCCCATGGCCTCTAGAGGGCGCTCCTGTCTTTATTGTCATGGGTCTGTGCTGCTGAGAGTGAACATACCTTAGGTCAGCTAGTTTCTTGAGTGGGGTCCAGAGCCCTCTTTGGCATTGTAGGTTTAGCTCTTCTTTAGAAAGTAAGCAACTGAAAATGCTTCAGCAGTTGTGTCAGGAAGAAAAAATGCTGTCTCCAGACTCTGAACTCACGATAGACTTAAGCTACTTAATAAAATTGCTGATTCCCTCTTTGTGTAACAACTCCACCAAAGTCTTTATGAGGTATCAAAAATAAGAATAAATCAGTACATGAATACAGCTTTAGCTACACCCTTCAAAGGAGAACAGTTGTCATTCTGTTGATGTTATACTTACATAGTACTTATAGTTAGATAATCCAGGATAGTTTGTTAATCCCATGGTTAAATATTTGAACTGTGCAGGTTTTTTAAAAGAAGAGAAAAAGCATGTTTAAATCCTTCCTTTGTATTGTCACATATCTCATTTTAAGAGTTAGAGTTTCAGTTTTTCCAAAGTCTCTTACAGTGCAGCAAATGTGCTGCTTGATAGTTGTCTCTTTGGAAGACATTGATGAGTTGGGGGGGCTTTTACAGAGCTCTGTGTGAATGTGGGAAGCTGATGATGCTGGTAAGTGAGCAACTCTGCTCCCTGTTGTTGGGATCAATAATTCTGTGCCCTGAGTTACTGGTTGATATGAAAAAAGAAGCTTCAGAAGTTTTTGGCATTGATGTGTACGATGGAAAGTTACTTTATAATTAAATTATATTAACAATAATCTACATATGTTGGCTATTTACATTGATATAACTTGCTAGGACTTGGAGGGACCATCAATTGCCTTTAGAGATAACTTTAGGTTATCATTTTGGCATAAGATCACAAAACAATCACAAAAGGTACCCTGGGACTTGGCAGCAAATTCACAGTCCACAAAATCCAGTACTATATTGGATTGAGATCTGATTTATATTGAGGCTGGAAACAGCCATTCGAAAATGGATATACCATGGTAATAAAAGAATGAGCATGGTCAGCAGGAACTATGCATCTCAAACCAATAAGATTCCCCTCACCCGTTTAAAACACTACCACCAGCCTGAGCCATTGAAACAAGTCAGGATTGATCAACTTTGATGCTGTTATTTCTATTTCTATCTACTCTTGAATATAGAAGCCATAACCAAGTCTAATTATAACGTTTTTACAGTTTTACTGTGAAACTGTCAATGTAAACTGTTCTTTCAGAGTCCTTTCTCATTTGAAAGTAGTGGCGTCTTAAGGGTTTTTCATCTGTTTTCTCTCCGTCAAACATCATTTTTATCTCCATCCTGATGACGTATAAATGTGGGTCTGTGCTAGAGTCATTATTTGTGTTATTATAGAGATTGCTGTGTATAAATCGTGGTAATGAAGCCTACTAGATCTAGATCACTTTCCCTCATGCAACCAGAGGCTCATCCGTCTGTGAAGCAGCCAATCAGCCTCCAACTGCACCCTCTCGTAATCCAATCAGCATCAAGCTTCCAGCTTTAAATACCTTCATATTCAATGATCAGCGTGCTACGCAACAAGCATATGGCTTGGATCGCATGTCAGATTTTAACTAAGGTGACCTTGATTCAACCCTCATCCATCCCCTTCTCCACCATCCTCATAAGCTTCATCTAGCTCCTTCTCTTAGCTGCTGCTTGTCCCTACTGAAGCAATTCCTTGCTTCCTTCCTTCGCTTTTCACAAGGTAATTCCGGCTGGTCTGGCAGAAGACCACCATATTGCGCCTGGTTCTACAAGAGATCTTTTCCTTAGTGTAGCTTTTCCTCTCCACTCTCACTTCATGCTTGCTCATCATGGAGATTCATATGAACCTACACCTATTCCAGCTGGCATTCCATCTCCGTTCCACCACCAGTTTCAGGCCTAGGGGGCTTCATCCCTGTTCTAATTTGGCAGCTCATGGATATAATCCAAGTAAATTTCAATGTTAATGTACCCTGCCGAGCCCTGAGCACCAAAGACTTAAATCATTGTTTAAGTAAAACTCTTCTAATTTCCTTCCTGTGAGTTTTTTTTTTTTTGTGAGTTTTTCAGTTTCAAATGTTAGTAAAAACTTAAATTGTCCAAATAACCATCTTTATTAAGCATTAGAATAAGACAGAATATGTTTTTTTAAGTGACTTAATTGAAAAAAATGGAGCCCTTTAAAATATTTAATAACAATTGTCAGGTTGTTTTTAGGTGAAAATAATAAATAGTCCAAACCATCTGAAGGAGAATAAAATGATTAAATGCAGTCTAAGATATTGAAGAAAAAGCCTTGTACTTCTAATGGATAATTTTTTGAAAAGTACAAAACTTCATTCTCTTGATAGTAGATTAAAAGATTTATGCAGCCACAAAAAAGTGTTTCACCACAGTGTTGATAAAAGTGTTTAGAAATCATGTTGTAAGGGATACATAGCCTTGAACTGCTGCCATCCGTCAGTGGAAATATATATAAAACAACAACAAAAATATTTTACATGCCAATAATGAGCCTTAGAGTGGAAATTAAGTTGGCAAAAGTAACAAAGTTGGCAGCAATGAAAGAGAAGAAAAGAAAGACATAAAGAAAATAGAAAGAGTGGTGAAATAAACTCTCCCCTGAAGTGTGCCAGCTCCCCTTGGAGAACAGTCAGGTGCTGGTGGGGCCGCGGATGCTAATCACGCCAAACTGTGACTCTGCTCCCCTCAGCTTTCCCACACTCGCTCCATTTAAGGAGCTCCCACTCAACAATGGGCATGTGCCTTGTTAAATGCTAATTCATCCACACACAAGCAGCCCCTGGCTCTTCCCACAGGGTAATGTTTATTGTTTTGGCACTCTCTTTAAAGAGGACAAGAGAGACAGAAATAACCATAAATATTTTGACTTGGGTACACCAACAAATTTATACTGAGAAAACGTATAATTATATGAGGTGTTAGTTTCATAGCTCTTCAATATGTCCATTCATATGTCCCGTTTTCTGACCAACTTGTATTTTCAAGATTATTATTTATTCTTTTTTTTGTGTGCTAAAAACCAAAATGAGAATATTTAAAGTATTCTTGTATCTTTATTCCCAAAAAACCTTTTGTGTAATGTATGAATTGTTCTAAAAACTACTAAAAGTCTAAATGAGAAAAAAAGTTACTTTTATTAAAGAGTATCACTGATTATTGACATATTGTTTGTTGTTAATGTTTAGTTCCACCGTCAGTATCTGAAGGTGAGTAGGAGGGAAGTTTTCCATAAAAACACATTTATTGGATAGAAAAATGCTGTAACAATTAAAATAAAATGAGTTTTTTTTGCAAGATAAATCTCAATTTATGTGAAATTTCCACATTTGCTCCCTTTGAATGACATTTGTTTAGTTTATAAGTTACTTTAAACTAAATTTCAAGATTCTTTTTTTTGTTTAGATATTCAGATAGAAAAATGTCTGCAGATAATACAAGCCCTAGGTAAGCACATTCCCAGCCTCACTGAGTAAAATATGTAACCTTTTACAATTCACTGGTAAAGAATCCCCCCCCTCCCCCTCAGACATCTTTGTCTGGTTGGCATCTATTGTCTCACGGGGCCTCTGTGAGTGAGTTTTCTCTGGTTTCCCACACTCTGTCCATTTACTGCTTCCAAGAACAAAAGAAGTGTGTCTGGTTGCGAATCACATTAATTATTGATTCAGTTTACGAGTTTTGTCCCGCTTGCCTCTGAATGAAAATTCCTGTCATCCAGACTCATCACTACGATGCTTTAGTAAAATGTCTGTGAGGAATGCAGACATCCAAAGGATTAATGAACATTCAAAAGCTATTTTCCCTATCTTTTCTATTCAGATAGTTCCCACTGAGTTCCTGGGAGTTTATGATGGAAGGATGAAAGTGAGCTATCTATCGATTAACCATGTGAGCAGAAATATAACTATGTTACATTAGTTTAGTTTATAAACTGCAATATTTTTGAAATTAGAGATCAACTTTTATATTCAAAGGATTTAATTAAAGGATAGTTCTCTAGCCTTGATTTAAAGACATAAATAAAAGATCATTCTCTGACAGCAAATTCCTGTTGAGAGGATAAAAAGAATGTAATCAGTAAAATGTGATAAACTTCTCCTTGTTGGTTTCTGCTGAGAGTGATGGGACGATAAGTGTGTGCTCAGTCAAAGTCATTGATCCCAGCAACATGCAGCGGCTCTGCTCACGCTCCGGGGTCACCACTTTCCCAGATTCAAACAGTGCATTGTGTGTCCTCCCCCCCTTCAGTGCTCCTGTGGCTCCCCTGAGATCAAACTATTATCCTCAAGGCAATAATACCATTCAGTGGTTTGCATCCTTTATTGTCTCGTTGCTCTCTCTGATTGGCCAAGACTGTGAGAAACTCAAGGCAAAGCAAGACCCACACATTCATATGCAGATGTGGGGCTATATAAAGCAGGGCTGCAGACAGCACACTTCAGATTCTCGCTACAGAGACCCCAACGGCAGAGCTCCAGCAATGGCTCCTACAATCCCAGCAGCAATAACCAACTCTCAAGAACACTTGCCTCTGAATCACAAGGTAAATATAAAATCGTCAAAGATATAATATTAATGAACATTATTAGTGATCATTATTGCCATTGCTGCATTGCAGAACAGGATCACTAATGAGGTTGTTTTGTTTTGTTTCTGCAGCTCAGAAAGCCTCTGGTGGAAAAGCTACGCAGAGAGCGCATCAACAGCAGCATCGAGCAGCTCAAGACTCTCCTGGGTCCAGAGTTCCTCAAACAGCAGCCAGACTCCAAGCTGGAGAAAGCTGACATCCTGGAGATGACAGTCTGCTTCCTGAGACGACTGCGGCAACAACAACAACAGCAGCATCCATCTGTGGACTCAGTAGCTGTTGATCAAGGCTACTCCCGATGTGTTCAAGAGGTGGTGCACTTCCTGTCCAAAGACGACCTGAAGACACAGTCCCAGAGACGTCTGCTGAACCACTTCAACAACCTGCAGTCTTCCTCTGAAAAGAACCTTAAAGACATTTCTTCTCTGAGCTCCACATTTCAGGCTTCCATTAAAAAAGAGCCATGTCCAACCAACAGCTCTCTCTGGAGGCCGTGGTAAAAACCAAGGACTTAGAAACTGGAATACAGATTCTCTGTTATGTACTCATGCTTGTGCTTCTCTTATATCTAAGAGCAATTGCCTGTATCAAGGCTTCCATTTTGTTGCCTTTTGTAAAGGCATGATTATGATTTTTTTCTTAAACAAGAAACATTAAATTTACACAGAAATGTTAGTTATTAGCCTAATTCTCTGATGTAAGCAATAGTATTCTTAATCTGAATATACATTTAATGTTGGCAGTGCTGACAACAGCGTACATGTTCATGCTTTGTTCCGTTTTAGGGACACTTTTGTTCTCATGTTTAAACATGTTATTAGATGTATGTGTTTTCCACATTTTCTTATGATTGATTGGCCTCATGGGTTTTGAAATTTCTTAATGTCCTGCTTTTCTGTTAAGCAGATTGAAGACAACTGTGCTGCTTTTTACCTCTGTGAGTGACAGCACCCATACCTTCAATGAAGGAATAGATTTTTGAAAAATGTCTCACAATGAATGTATCTCTTCAAACCAAGTGATGCGCAATAAAACAATCAGAAAAACAACATCTGTTTGACTTTTTTTTCAACTGTTGTTTAACATCCTTTGAAAGCATTTGCATTTTAGCTTTGTAAGCTTTGCTTTATAAAAAAATAGAGGAAAAATATCTTAGTGAAGCTTGAAAAAGCTCAGTTTAGGCAACTGGACTTGAAGTTTATAGAAGACGTTTTGCCTCTTATCCAAGAAGCTTCTTCAGTTCTAACTGGTGGTGGGGAGCGCTGATATCAATATGCTGTAGGTCTAACTAAGAACTAGGGGAGACTAAAGGTGGCTCTGATCCTTCCCACTGGATCTTAGTGAAATGTCACATCAATGCCTGATGAAGGTCAAACTTTGCAGGAAACAGTTGTGTTAAATACCAAGATAGACCACAATAGACCAATAGGCAGAGTTATAGAGTCAAGGTTTCTCTTATAGAGTGGCAGCAGCTCTGCAAATAAAATAAATAAATAAAAATCATATTTGCATTTTTCTTCTTTTTTTATATAAACCTGCTGTACATACACATATGCATACACATACATGCACATGGCAGAGGGTGAGCTGTATGTGATTGATTGATCAATAAAGTCAATCAATCAATCACATGCAGCTCGCCTTGTTACTTGTTTATTTAAAAAAAAATAGTATGACATTTAGTCAAATGTCACATTTATAAGTGAATAAAATCATTAGTTTGATTATGTTTCATAAAACATTTCAAGATATATAATTAAATTAATGATGTTATAAGATAAGATATTCTCAAACTGTCATATGATCAGTAATACACAGTATAGTGTACACACAAAAGTACAAGGTACCTGCTACCAAAACAGCCATTACAAGACAAAATGTATAAATAATCAGTACATCTAACAAAAATAAAAGGTAAAATATATGTTATAGTCTTACTGATATTTAAACAAGATTATCATGTCTTGTTTAATTTTCACTGTTCTGGAAATAAGCTGTTGTGCTAATTCTGGCATTTTGATGCATGTTGATAAGTGTGCATTGTCCTAATTTAAATAAATATATAAATTGTGTATAGTGATATGGCAATAAGGTTCCATATCAGACAGCAGGATAGTTAAAACTAGTATTCGGCTTAGAACCTGTTGGGAAAAGGCTTTTTTTTCAATCACTTGTTTTTGTTTTTTTGGGCTGTATAAAAATGTTCTTGGCTACTTTAGCTGATCTGGCAATTTCTTGAAATAGATAAGTTTCCCATCCAGCTGGTGATGCTCACACACAAGACACTCTTAGTGGTGTTAGTGTAAAAGGTCCTGAGCACCTTGTATGGGAGCTTAAACTCCAAAGGAGATGGTGTCACTGTCAGACCATCTTCACTTACATGTAGAAGTATTTGTTATTTGATATGACTTGTGGTTGAGAGACGTCCTTCCTGCAGGCTTTCTTGTTATTGCAGGAGTAGAGTTCCACAACATCAGTGTTGCAGCAAAGGATATGATCATACACAACTACAACTTGGCATGCAATCATAGATGTACCAGCATTAAGAAGAGAAGAGGGATGAAGAGTGATGAAAACACTGGACCCCTGTGATCTGCTGGTCATCAATTTAAGTTACAGACCCACTTGCAAAGGAAGTAGTCTACTTTGGCCAACTGTTATTATTGTGCATAAACAAAACTAACACAGAAAGAAAAAAAACATCTGTTTGGGCATTTGTTTTTAAAGTGAGGATAAAAATGAAATGTAGTAAAAGTTAGAGAATTAATTTTTTGCACAGAGCCATTAAAAAATAAAGAAAAATGATTACTACATACCAGCCCCCCTCTATTCAGTCCTGCTAAGTACCTAAATATTTGAATCCAGTTTTCTGAAATACGGACATATCTAAAAGGTAAAGGACATCAGACCTCGAGGACTGGAACTGAGAACTCCTGCTCGTTGTAATGCAGTGTTAAGCTGAACAAATGCATGAATGTGAAATCTGTTCAACTTGTATTCTGTTTAAGATTTGACCCAGACTGGTATTAATAGCCAAGATTGATTCTGGTGTCAGCTGAACAGCAAATATATAGACATATAGAAACGTTATTTCTATCTGTTTTTGTTTAAAGTTTCTGAAACCTTTAGGTAAATAATAACTGGTTTAGTTGTTTTCAACATATTGTTGACTTTTATCTGTTTATAAGCCTGTCATAATATGCACCATACAAAAAGAATAAAAGTGTTTATGATTCATGCTGATATGGTATCAGGTCAATATTGGTATCGCATTGAAAAGGCTGTTCATCATTGGAGAGATAAATCTACTTTCTGCATCTCATTTCTCCACTCCCAGAGAACATACTTGATTCTCTGAGGTGTCAGTGCTCAATTACATAGAGCAGCGTTTATTAGGCTATCAAATAACCATAAAGTTAAGATTTAATGGCCTTTCTACACTCTAAACCTCAACCCCAAAGAACAATTGTGGGCTTAGCTCAGGGGTGTTCTTCAAACCAGATTGACATTCACAATGGCATAACGACAAATACTGGATGATGAACGTGATGGTATCCAGCGGTTCTATTCAAGCTAGAAAATAATCTAATTCAATAAGAATAATAAGAATAACCAACTTCTCAATTTTAACAGGAAGAAAGGTCCAGCAGAACTGATCAAACTGATCCTTTAATATTTCTGCTTCCTTTCGTTTTTGGTGGTGAGTTCTTAATCATACTTGATATTATCAAAAAAAGAGTTAACAGAATACAAGATAATACTTTCATCTTAAGATATTTATTTTCTTGAAATATGCAACAACACAAAAACAACTTAAAATCCATTTTGGATGAATAAAAAAAAAAATCAATAAAATAAAATATGCATACACAGCATACAAAGAAATATTCAGTCCCTTTCCAGAAGAAAGGTTTGTTTTTTTAAGCATTTCACAAACACACCCAATCAAACAATACCTTGAAACAAGGCAGAAATATATATGCAGTGTGTAATCACACGGTGTTCGACTATTCAGTATATTTGCAGCAGTTAGAGGGTTGACTTGGCACCTTTTGGCAGTGTTAAAATTTACTCTATTTAAACAGTTTTAAAAAAACATCATTGTGGTGATATAAATCTATCACTAATCAAAACAAAAAGAGACAAATTCTTGCATAGATAAGAGACTGGATGTCTCAAGTAAATCTCAAATAGCAGCATTTTACACAATAATCTCTCAACTGTAAATTGAAATGTAAACTTAAAAAAAAAAATATTAATAATCTTGCAACCGGTCAAACTAAATGAAAATCCAATGACAGAAAGCGAAAAAGTTTTTCCTCAGGATGTTTTAAATGTCCATACTTCTTGTCTCTTCTTGGTACAGTGGAAGTAATGTAATTCTTCCATCCGAGCAGAATTTCATAATAACTCCAGCCTATTCTTTGAAAGCTCAACAACACAGTTCATGAAAGTGAAGCAGCTTCAATCCAGCTTTGCTCTTCTGTTGTTTGTGCTTTTTAAAAGCACAGCGGAGTCACGTCGTCCTCTGCATCAGGAAACAGGCGTAAAATGTCCCTGGAATATTTGGAGTACCCGTTGTGTGACAGCAGGGCTTTTCTTAATGTGAGGAAGGACTTGGTTTTCTCCAAAATGTCTGAGACAGGGAATCCGTTCTGGAGGTGCGCCTCTATCAGCGCCTTCAGCTTCTCCACTCCTGTGCAGCACTTCCTCTCTATTGAGTGAATTTTGCATCTGAGAGAGACAAAGTCAAATTTGATTAGAACTTACTCCAAGTAAATGATTTGTACAAAATAAAGACAATAAAAACAATTTCAAATATATATTTCTAGGTTAGAGAAAATAAGGCTCACCTAAAGAGTTCTTCCTTCATGGTGTCCTGGAGAGCGAGGTCGGTGTACAGAGCCATTTTCAAGGTTTGCTTCTTCTGTTTGGAAGATTTTCAGCTGCCTGCAAAGGTTCAGATGATGGCTGTGATTTCCTCTGGATCTCTGCTCTGCATTTATGCTGCCGATCTGACGCGCTTTGGGCTGTTTGGCCAATCAGGAGCTTTAAAACTCCAGACAATGGGCTGAATTTAATGGCTGTCATGTAGAACAGGTGGGATGCTTTATCTGCATGCCACTCATCAGAAAGGTCAGTGGGAAACTGTTTTCCATGAGGATGACACGGGAAAATTTAGTTCCTTTGAGTGATTCGTAAACTTGGACTTTGACCTCTAAATAAACAGATGCCTAAAAAAAGGACAAGCTAGAAATAAAATAATAAGAAAATGTCTAACAATGATAAAAAAAAAATGAACCAGTTGAATACGTGTCACATACAGAGGAATACAAATATTTGAATGCCATAAAGTTATTTAATTAATTATTTTTCCACTTTGTTTTCTTATTATAGACAAAATTCTGCTGAGTAACAGTTTCAGATTTTATTTTCCCAATTTTTTTCCCACTATGTGCTTCTCAGCAATGCACTGCATCCAAAGCAGATGGTTTGTTAGTGGAGTGGCCTCTTGTGTTCTCCTTGCCTGAGAACGGCTCCCGAGGCTTTGTTGGGACCAGACACACGTCCATTGTGTGCGCGGCTGATCTCCCTGCATACAGAAGTGTGGGAAGCCGTGTGTCTCAGCAGCTCCCAGCAGCAGTGAAAGAAGAGGGCGTGTGACTAGGGCACAGCCAGCCTTCTGCAGGCGGACATACTGGGAAACTTGAGTCAACCTCTGAGGTGATAGCACTGTGACACACAAACAGATGGGAGATGAGATAATCAGGAAGGTGAATCCACCTTAAGCAAGAGAGAATGACAACTTTAAGTGATTTTTATGGGAAAAAAATAACTTTGAGTAGATAAGAATTTAAGGTTATTGTCATAAATGATCATGTGAAATGAATTAATCTAGTAAATTCATCTTTAAACAGCTACAGCAGACCAAAGGAATGTTTACAACGAGCTAAGATCTGAGTTTCTGTTTTTGTTTTCCATATTCAGGTAACGACTGAGTTATTACCTGATCTTAACTGACTCAAAATCTGAGTCTGTTTAGATTAAT